CCGGAGGCGTGCTACTCGGTTAGCTTTAGGATCTTGGGACACTTACTCAACCTCTTTTCTGTTTCTCTGTGGAGTGAAAAGGGTATAATAATGGCCCTGCCACGTAGGTTATGACGATTTGTCAAGTTAATGTACAACGCATGCCAAGTATAGCTTGGCACCAAGCAATGCTCCCATGTTGGCTGTTGAGAGAAATTAGCTCCTATCCAGGGCAGCCACTAATTTCTGGGTTTTAGTTTCTCTGACCAGGGCTGGGGAAACCAGTGGTTAGAACTTCTGGGCCTCACAGCCCCTGACCCAGCTGAGACTGTGGTAACTTCACCACCATTCAGATCTGTTCTAAGCAGACAGGACTTGTGGCCACCATACAGTTACAAACACTGGCCCTGGCCCGTTCCCCAGGCATGACCCTGGCTGATGACCCTCCCCTCCCAAGGTCTCTTTCTCACCTCACCCTCTCCCTGTACCCAGCCCCTTGCAGGTGGATCCTAACAGCCTTGGAAGGGAAAGTTAAGAGGCACTGGAGTGGGGGCCAAACAACAGTATTGGGATGCCAGATCCAGGGCAGATGGGAAGGGTGATTATGCACTGAAGGGGATTCTGGGAGTCCACAAGGCAGGAGAAAGCAGGAGGTGCGTGTGCTGTGTCTGGACCTGATGACACTACTGTTCTTAGTGAGCACTGTCCCTAAGTGCAGGGTCTAACACTTGGCCTTTCCTTGTGTCCCATGCCGGGTGACATACCACAGGGTATGGTGGTATGTTCGTAGTGTTCAAAGTCCCTGTGATCATTTCCTACCTGAGTCAACTCAGGCCTCTAAAGTCTCAGTGTCTCATCCAAGTCAGGGACAGGGACATAGTTCCTGTTTGAAGGGAAGAATGAGTCCATGGAGCGGGGTGGGGCTGAGGGACAGCAAAGACTCAGATCTCTGCTGCTCAGCCATGAGCAGCGCGGCTTTGGGCAGATGGCTTAGCTTCTCTGCGTCTCTGGATTCTGGATTGTGAATGAGGGCCTATGGCATGCTGACAGTTGTAGTCATAAAGGCTCAGGAAACCAGCAAGAGCCTCCTCTGAGTCTCCATCCACCTCTGGATCTGCCTGACGCCAACAGTCCTACTTGGACTCATCCTCCAAAACTCCATCTCCCAGCCCTCCTGTCTCTCACAAATGGCTCAAGTCTTAGCCTGTGCTACTAGAGAGCCAGTCAGCTGCTGCCTGCCCAGTTTCATGAAGGTCTCTTAGGGATGCCTCACCTAGCCAACCCTCTCTCCGTGGCCCTGTCTCCCTCCCCATCGTCAACCTCACCCATTAGTTTAGGTCTCCCCAGAGGACAATCTAGGCTGGAAGTTTCTGGAATGTGTCAAATAAAGGCCCTGGAGAGGTAGGTAGCTCAGTGGATTCTTTAATGTGGGCCCAGGGTTCCATAGTCAGACGTAGGAGTGTGAGGGGAGAGCCCTATACCAGTGAGGGGAGCCCCAAAAACCTGGGCACCCCATACCCCTGCCCTGTCTGCTCCCCGAGAAAGGTCCCAGTCCCTCCTGTTTTCCCAGCCAGGAATCCTGCTGGTTCCCACATTACCACATGAATGGGGCACATGCCCCCCTGTCCACTTGAGCAAACAATTTGGCTAGCAAATTGACATAATTACCAAAGACTGGGAAGAAAGAAGCCCCCACCCCTTGGCCCCCCAGAGGGTGGCTCCTGCAGAGTTCCTCCAGGGCTTTGTAGGCTGGGGCGCTCAGGGCTGATTAGGGACCTTGTGGCCTTTTCAAGAGCCCTAAGTGATTGGTCCCCTTAATCTGATTACAATTTGCAGAGCCCCTCCAGCCGCCTCTGAAGGGCTTCTCTTGAGCACCCTGCTCGATCAACCCTCAAGTACACACACACACACACACACACACATGCACGCACGCACACACGCACACTGATATATTAGGCTGCCTATTTTTAAAACATCCTACATACATACAACACCCAGGCCAGAGCAGCTGTGCACACTCCTTTAGGTATAACTACCCATCGCCCACCCATCCCTCTCCAGGTGGCCTCCTCAGCACCCAGGACTAGTCTGCAGGGACCCCTGCAAAAGCAGACTGTCTCCCCAGCAGCTTTGTCTGGGTTCCTGGGGCCTGGCTCCCAGGGGATTAGGCTCAGCAGGCAATCTGGACACAGAGCAGTCCGCTCCAGCCCCGTCTGGGAACTCAGTTCATGCCAGTCAATGCTCCAAGCACTTCATATCCAATTGGGATCTCTTAATTCCCTTGGCCCAGCGACAATGGTGCCTTTTCTCATCCTTGCTGCTGCCTATCACCAGCCTCAGCCTGGCCCCCTACCCCCAGTGTTTCCCTACTGCAGCTGAGTGCCCCTCTCTAGGGCATAAGGCTTGTATACATGTGTGGGACCCTCCAAGGTAACCTCCAACTTGATGCACCATCCTTGGAGGACCCCAGCCTAGACGCACAATAAGAACAGTAGTTGCGGGCTGGAGAGATGGCTCAGTGGTTAAGAGCATTGCCTGCTCTTCCAAAGGTCCTGAGTTCAATTCCCAGCAACCACATGGTGGCTCACAACCATCTGCAATAAGGTCTGGTGCCCTTTCTGGCCTTTGGCATACACAGATAGACTATTGTATACATAATAAATAATAAAATTAAAAAAAAGAACAGTAGTTGCATGTAGGAACCCCACACAGTTCAGAACATCCTGAAAATGGGGCACTGAAGGCTGGGCCTGGAGTCAGAGAGCCTGGAACAAGTGCCCGGGGCAGGCATCAGAATCAGAGGCCCATGTCTCACCTTAGGCTATCTTTAAGAACTTTTATTGGGCTGGGTGGTGGTGGCACACACACCTTTAATCCCAGAGCTCAGGAGGCAGAGGCAGGTGAATCTCTGAGTTTGAGGCCAGCCTGGTCTACAGAGTGAGCTCCAGGACAGCTAGGGCTACACGGAGAAACCCTGTCTTGAAAAACAAACCAAAAAAGAACATTAATACTTGGGAGACCAAGGCAGGCTAGATGTGGAATTCCAGGCCAATCTGAGCTATATAGTGAGACCTTTTCTCTCCATCCTACCACTGTGACCTTACATAAGGTGTTATGTTCTCTCGGCCTCAGTTTCCCCAGCAGTGGTAAGCCTGGAAGACTACAGCCACTCTGTCGGGGTTGTTGGAAAGTTAAATGACCGAGTGGGTGAGAGAAGCCTTCCGTACAGTGTTCAGCTTAGCGCTCAGTGCACACAGAGGAGGGCACCTGAAACACATCCGTAGGACTTTGACAGGGCAGCCCTAGTGGATCTGCGAGCTCCCTGGGAACCTTCACAGTCCAATTTTCTCGTACAATGCCCTAGCCCACAGCGTCGTGAGACCTCATTCCTGTTCACATCACGTTAAGGCGACCTCTGCCCAGCTCGCTCCCAGAAAGAGGTTGGGCATCGCTTCCAAGGCAGCCAGCCTGATGTTGCCCGAGGGCAGAAGCCTGTCAGTCTCTGTCCTTGGTGTCCAAGCCCTGTGATCAGGGGGATCACGGGGAGCGTCATACCACAGTTCCCTCGAAGCCTGGCCCACCATTGGTTTTTCATCAGTTTAGAAGACGGTTCATAGAGACCCAAGATGAGGCCCTCTGGAGGATCACGCTCTCTCCACTCCAAGGGCACCCCGCCTTCTGCACCTCTGGTGGATCCTGCCCCCTGTATCCTTCGCAGATATCCTCCCACACTCTCTGCACCCCGCCATCTGTACTGCCCCTCCCAGACCCCAAGCTCGTCCCTTGCGCCCCTCCCACACCTCGCCCCTGCACTCTCCGCCACCTGCACCCCATTTCTTGTCCCCTCCCAGACTCCGCCTCTGCACCTCACCACCTGCGCCCCTCCCACATCCCGCCCCTGCACCGGCCCTGGCCCTGCAGGGACCCTCGGGGCGGGACCGCGCGACCGTGGGGGAGGGGCCGGGCCGATCAGCTGGAATCAAAGCCGCCGCCCCCCTCCCCCGCCCCCCTGTCCCCCTGCCGAGCAGCCGCGCACCTCCTCCTTTGTCACAATGTTTTTCAATCCGGTGAAGCAAACTGTCCAATTAGAGCCGGGGCCTCCGGCTTCCATCTTTGCCGACGTTTAATTAACATGCTTCTCTTGGCAGCTGCTGACAAGTTCCAGAAACAGGTTGTAAAGGGTTTTTGTCTTTACCCAGCATGGAAAATAAGGGGTGTTACATCGCGGAACATGAATAGGTGGCACTTCAGCTTCCTCCTTCTCTCCTCCCCCTCCCCCTGCTCCGCAAAGGGGCACGGATCCCTGAGTGTTCGTGTATGCGCGTGTACGGGTGAATTGCCAGGGAGGCGGGGAGAGTGAGTCGAGTTGGAGGCAGGCAAGACCGGTCCCTTCCTCTCTTTATCCCTTCCTTCCCAGGAACCTTTGCTCCACAAAAGATTTGGGTTCCTTTGCTCTCAAGTCACTACACTTTCCCCTACCCTCTCTGTTAGCTGAAGGCAAACTTGATTCCTGTCCGTGAGTTTGTCCGCGCTATCTCCCCTTGTTTCTCTTCTACTATTTCGCCTCCACAGCCCCACCAGGCTACCGCCCACTCACAGACTGCCTCCCCAAACGCTCCTGTCTGTCGTAGTCTACCTGTCTGTTGCAAGGCTGGGAATTTAGGGACCTGAAACTTTCCCCATTGAACAGCAGGAGTGGGGCTGGCCTGGCAGAGGAAGGGAAGGGCTAGGGAAAGCCGACTGGAAGGGGAGCCTCCCTCTCCCTAGCCTGCTGGAACGCACCCAGAGCAAGTCAGTGGCCTTCTCACCAGGGTGGACCACTAATGTAAGGGAAAAGGGGTGCTTGGAGAAGTAAAATGCAGCCGGGTTGAGCCCCCCTCCCCCGGGCCTCCCAGGCTGGATGAAAATCTTGTAGAGATAGTGGTCCTTTGGGCAAAGGTCAGGGCCAGGCAGGGGACCAGGTTCTCTGGATCCATATATCTCTCACAGGGGCCCTACCAGAGAATTCACACCCATTCTACAAAGAACATCAACAACATTTATTTACTACACAGGATAGAGTGGTCTGGGGTCCCCAGGAGCACAGGAACTGTGGTTGGGGAACAGGCAGGGCTGGAAGAGTCCCGTGAAGTGGTACCCCCTGGGAGGGTCAAGCTCACTCCTATCCCAGCCATTGTCCATGCTGCTTTCCACAGGCTATTGAGCATGCTGACCCCAGGCAGGGGCAGATCTTCTGCAGCTGACCCTGGCTTGGAGCTCACTTTGTCGGAATTCCTCCATTCTCAGGCAAGCCCCCGGGATGAAGGGGGTCTGGGAGGTGCTGGGTCCAGGTCAGCAGGCCTTTCAGCTGCCCTGCTCCTGAATCCCTAGCTAGGTCGCTCCACCTCCTTCCAGAGCTTGGGGACAGTCTTCGAAGCCTGGAGAGAGAGAGAGAGAGAGAGAGAGAGAGAGAGAGAGAGAGAGAGAGAGAGAACAGCGGGTGGGGTGTCCCTACCAAGCCTGCTGCAGTTTCCAGGGGGACACCAGCAGCTTGGTACTCCCCAAAATCTTCTCTCCTGACATGACCCTTTGCCTTTTACCCTAGACTCAGTCACTTCCAAGCTGTTTGTAAGATCAATGACAATGACCTTGAAAGACCCCAGTTCCCCCACTTGTTAGCCATGTGGCTTGAGTCCTGTGCCTTAATTTCTTCAGCTATTAAAAAGAAAGAAGGGGGCTGGGGATGTAGCTCAGGTGATGGAGTGCGTACCTAGCATGTACAAAGTCCTGGGTTTGAAGCCCAGCATTGGTTAAACGGGGTGTGGTGGTATGCACCTGTGATTCCAGCACTTAAGAGGTAAGACAGGAAGATCAGGAGTTCAAGGTCATCCTTGGCTACATAGTGAGTTCAAAGTCAGCCTGGGGTATCTGAGATCCTGTCTTTAAAAGGGGTTGGGGGGGGCGAGAGGTGGTGGCACATGCCTTTAATCCCAGCACTTGGGAGGCAGAGGCAGGTGAATCCCTGTGAGTTCAAGGCCAGCCTGGTCTACAGGAGCTAGCTACAGGACATTTAAGACTGTTACACAGGGAAACCCTGTCTCAAAAAACCAAAAAAAGGGGGGGGGAGGTTGGGGGTGGCTGGTTGAAATGGTACACATCTGTAATTCCAGCACATGACTGAGGCAGGAGGATACTTCTTAGTTTAAGGCAAGCTTGGGATATGAGCAATTACCCTGCTTCGTGGAAATTTCTCAAGGGTTGGTTGGTATTACAGTACCCCATCAATACACTGTGCTCTATAGAGGGGAAGGAGGAAGGTCTAGCCTGATCTAACCAAGTAAAGCCAGATCATAGATGAGGAAACTGAAGCTCGATCTCTAGGTTGAAGAGAGCCTTCAAGTCACACGGCAGCAAGCAGTCACAAAGTCAAGTGTGTCACTGGGTCTCTTTCTATGTGCTCCTCCAGGCTAGCCTGCCTAACCCACCTCAGGGGCAGAAGAGCTCACGCTTCCATCTGGTTTTGAGACCTGAGCCTCTATTGAGAGAACCAGAGCACCATCCCCCAAAGAGAAGGCTTACCCGCTTCTCACCTGCCTTGGGAGCTTAGTGTACCAAGGATGCCGAAGTTGCTAAGGATACTGGAGGTGTTGGAGGTACTTGAGCAACCAAGGATGCTGAAGGCGTTGGAAGTACCAAGGGTATCGAAGGTACTGGAGGAGCAGGATGTTTGTGGGTGAGGTCCTCAGGAATGTAGACAGTGTTCACCTCTTCAGAAATCTGTGAAAAGAGGGCCTAGTGGAACTAAAGGTGCTGGGGTGAGCCAAAAGCTGCAAACACAGTGTGGCGAGTGCCATCTTGTGGTCATGCTAAAAATTGCATGACACAAACATTCCTTTATAGCTTGGGATGGGTCCCGTCAGAACGGGCCCTGTCAGGGTGCTCAGGCAAGGCAAGAACCAAATAGGGTCCTTGTCCCACAAGGACAAACGCTGGGTGGCATAGAGTTCAGATTGCATTCTAGACTATAACAAGACATGGGGGGGAGGGGGGTTGAAAGATGAGCAGTGTGGCTTCTCAGAGCTAGAGTAGCATCCCAAAGTAGAACAAGGGAACGCAAAGACTGGAAACAGATCTGGGAAGTGAGGCATGGGTGGGGCTGCTCAGCCCTGCCTTCCCGCAGCTGTCTCACCCTTCCCCTGTGAAGCTGGCTCATGACCCAGGCAGACAACCCAGGGGTAGTGTAGCGCTGGGATCCAACTCAGGACCTCATGCATAGACGAGCATTTTACCAACTGAGGTATAGCCACAGCCTTTGCTAGTCTGTTGGTTGAGGCAGAGCCTCACTCTGCAGCCCAGGTTGGCCTCAGACCTGTGCCTATCCTCTTGCCTCAGCCTCTTCCCTAGGCTAGGATTGCTGGGTGACACCGCTGCTGTTAGGTTCGGGGACAGACTTTGGAAGTTATGACTAGAACACACCAGATTCAGGCCCCATGGTAGGCTGCTCATGGACTTCACTCCCAGAGTGTGTAGAAAGAAAGGTATACATGGCCCCCTTGGGGTCCCCCGGGGAAAGAAAGAAAGACGGGTAGGGAAAAGTCTTCAATTTACAGGCGACACCATGCCCTACATAGATTAGGTTAAGGCAAGGTGTGGGTGTTGCGGGGGTAAAGCTATCCTTGTATAGAGACAAGGTAGGGGGTACAGCTATCCTTGTATAGAGACAAGGTAGGGGGTACAGCTATCCTTGTATAGAGACAAGGTGGGGGTATAGCTATCCTGGTATACAGACAATATGGGGGTATAGCTATCCTTGTATAGAGACAAGCTGAGGGGGGTATGGCTATCCTTGTATAGAGACAAGGTGGGGGGTACAGCTATCCTTGTATACAGACAAGGTGGGGTGTATAGCTATCCTTGTATAGAAACAAGGTGAGGGGGTATAGCTATCCTCGTATAGAGACAAGGTGAGGGTACATCTATCCTTGTATAGAGACAAGGTGGGGGGGTACAGCTAGCTATCCTTGTATAGAGACGTCTCTAGAAATTACCTCCCAGTAGATGCTGTCCTCAAAGCAGTTTTCATCAGCCGCTTGTCCCCAGAATGGCAATTTCAAAATGAGCCCTAAATAGATCGGAGGACACAATGGTGAGGACACACTCTTTGCTTACCCCAACCTCTTCCCTCAGATGGGACCCCACATTCCCAGTCCCACAGCTGACAATACAGATATCAGGTATTCCGGGGAGACCCAGGTCCACCCTTGAGACATGTTCTTGGGTCCCCCCCTTGTGAGTCCCCCACCAGGACCCCATCTTTTCTAGTGTAGCCGCTCTCACTCACCCACAATGATGCCGCCCACCAGGGCTATGGCCAAGGTCAGGAGGAGGCTAAATATCTGGGATCTGCCCTGCATTTTCTTGGTCCAGTCTGCCTTATAGCCCCCAAAGCCAAATGAATGGAGCAGCCTGGGACAGAGACAGGAATGAGTGAGGACCCCATGGAGAGGCCAGGGAACTGATTACTGCTACCCCGCCCGTGTGTTCTTGAAACCCCAAGCCTCCTCCATCCCGATTACTCTATTCCTCTCTTGGACCCTTATGGCAGGTCTGAGGGTGGGGAGAGAAGCCAGTGAATGGTCTGGAGTGGACATGAAGAGGAGGAAGACACATCCGGTCCCACAAAAAGAAGGAATAGAGAACGAAGGGGAAAACCCCACTTCTCACGCCTTCTCCACACTTACCCTGGCTCTCCGTAGATATCAGGAGAGGAGTAGGCTGCTGCCACGGCACCCACGATGCCACCTATGATGCCAGGGATGCCGTGCAGGTTGTGAATGCCACATGTGTCCTGGATGCGCAGGCGGGACTCCAGGAATGGCTGCGGGGAGGAGGGAAGGTGGTGCTGCTCAGGCCGTGGCTGTGGCAGGGGCACGGGAGGCCTTCAAAAACACAGATCTAGTGTTCTCTAGGCCTCACCCCTTCTTCCTCTCCCTGCTTTCAGGAACAACCCCCCCCCCCCACAGCATCCCCAGCCCCGGCCCTAGGGACCTCACCGATAGGTACGCGAATCCTAGGGTGGAGAAGATGCCACAGAAGAAGCCCACGATGAGGGCGCCGTAAGGTGTGAGCATCATCTCCGCGGCTGTGCCCACGCCCACCCCACCTGCAAGTGTGGCATTCTGGATGTGCACCTGGGCAGGGCAGACAAAGCGTGCAAGCTCTCAGCTCTGTTCCTGGAGTGTGGCCTGCCTTCACACGTCACGCAAAGCTGGGAGCCGGGAACAGCTCAGATTCTGCCTCAGCAGGCCAAGAGCAGGTTGGCCTTGGCCCCAGCCGAATACAGCTGCTTTGTGTGCTCTGCAAGTAAGTCATCCACGACTCCCAGCAGGCCTGGACATGGTCTGTGTCCGTGAGGCAGTGTGCTGCTGGACACGCCCATGAACCCTAGAAACCCATCTGCCCATTTCCTTTCTCTCCATGTCCACCTGTGGGTCAGTGGGCGTATCTGTATCTATACCAGGGATTTGTGCCCCCCCCACGCATGCCCAGCTGCTACCAATGTTCTTCGTCAGCCATGCCGGGTCCTGGGCTGCTGGCTCCTCTAAGTGTGGGGACTGGTACAGCTTTAAAAAGCCCAGGAGGCCAGTGGTGTCAGGAAGATAAAGACCTGGCGGGGGGGGGGGCGGGGGAGCCGCACGCACACGGGCAATTCTGCCAGGCTGGCCTGCCATGACACACAGCTGGTACTGGCTAATAGCATTTCAGGCTGTGGGGAAGACAAGAACACTTGGCAGGGATGGCCCTCTGTGAACATCCAGGTTTGGGTGTGCCAATCTAGAAGCTGCCTGCCACAGCGAGGTGCAGGCAGGGCGAGACAGTCAGATAGGTACCTCCCCCACAGAAGCCCCTGCTCACCATGTCCAGCCTGCCCTTCTTGTGTATGATACTGGACACTGCCACTGTGGTTAGCACACTAGCCGCCAAGGAGAGGTAGGTATTGAGGGCTGCTCGGTGTTGGGTGTCTCCATGGGAGCAACTGGCTGAATTGAAGCTGGGCCAGTATATCCACAGGAAGAGGGTGCCTGGGTCAGAACATATGCAGGCCAGGGGCCAGGAGATGGGGTGTTAGGCCAGGCTCACAGAGCCCAAGTGGAGGCTCTGCCTTTCAGCTCGAGAGATGGCTGGCTGCTTCCAGCCTATAAGAATCACTCTCATGGGTGCTCCTTCTGGAAGGTCCTCCTGGCCCAACTCACCTAGAGCCCACTTAGCCTCCCACGCCACGTCACAAAGCCTTCTCTGTCTCCCCGACCCTAGGACTGGTTACCTGTCGCCTACTCTTAGAGTATCATGGGGGAGAGTCTCCCCCTCTGTAGACAGATTAGCTGGTGGTACTACTGTCTCTCAGTCTACAGGGTGGAAGGGAGGGCTGGGTCTGATAGACATCACAAGTTCCTGTTTCCACTCCGTCTGCATTGGGTTATTCCAGGAGGGAGAGAATCGGACACCCAGGAGTCTAGAAGTATCTACAGGGCACTTCATTCTGCCCTTCCTCCCAAAGAACCAGCAGCCGCCCACTGACTATGTGGAGACCAGGGATGCACACGACAATCCCCACCCACCATGCAGACCCTCACACATTTATAGTGGCCCTCACCCAGCATGGCTGTTCTTACTCGTGACGGGCGTTCCGCTCTTCATTATGGTGACCTTCAGCTACTCCTAGTTGGTCTTACCCACTCACGGCCGTCTGACCAATCATAGTAGCCGGTATAGCTCCCCCACCGTGTTGGCCCTCACCAACATGGAAAGACCTCCCCCACCATGGCTGCCCTCACCAACAGGACAGCTGTTTGTTCTCACCAATCATGGCAAAAAGGTCCGAGTGGTACACTGAACTCTGTCTCTGCTTGCTCTGCTCCAGATTCTTTCGGTAGAGGATCCAGGTCACTGTGAGCCCAAAGTAGGCGCCAAATGTGTGGATGGTCATAGAGCCCCCTGCATCCTTTGCCTGGAGTGCAAGGGGCCTGTCAGGGCCTGGTACCCTTTCCCCCTCCTTCCTCACAGTACTCCCCACCCCACACATATGCACACACGCTTGGCTGTCTCTGTCTCTAGCTGTGGAACACAGAGCCTAGTTCCCTGTCCCTGTTGCCTTATTTCTTCCTGTGTATGTGTGTGTGTGTGTGTGTGTGTGTGTGTGTGTGTTTGTTTGTTTTGTCAATCTGACACAAACTAGAGTCACCTGGAAAGAACCTTCAATTGAGAAAATGCCTCCATCCAGCTGGTCTATAAGCAAATCTGTAGGGCATTTTCTTGATGTAGGAGGGCCAGCCTTGGGTAGGGGGGTTTTGAGTTGTGTAAGAAAGCAGACTGAGCAAGTCATGAGAAGCAAGCCGGGAAGCGGCATTGCTCTGTGGCCTCTGCTTCAGTTCCTGTCACCAGGTCCCTGCCAGGACTTCCTTTGATAACGGACTGTCAAAAGGAAGTCTAAGCAAAATAAATCCTTTCCTCCCCCAAGCAGATTTTCATCACAGCAATAGAAACCCTAAGACAGTTCCTACAGCAACCAATTGAGCAGAAGGAGGTAGGGATGTTGACTGGCTAGCCAACAAAATGCCAGGGCCCTTCCTCTTGTCCTCTCCTTGGCTTCCTTAGCTCTTCTGGGGTGGGAAGCCTCTGTACTATTAAGCTCGTGTAGCACCCTCTGCTGGGCTGCCTAGCCCTGGCGGTCAATCCTTAACACAGGGCATGCTCAGTACCTCTTTGCTTGGACCCCTCGCTGAATTGTAAATTCTGGGGCTTATCTCAATGTGGCTCGCTCCCCTCTGCCTATAACCTTCAGTCTAGCTCAACAGAGCCACAGACTCTGAAATCTAAGTATGTCTGATGCACTGGCCAGGTGCTAAGGCAGAGGGCATCCAGACATGCAACCTTCTTTCTCAAGCAGGCCCCCAAGGGCTGTGAAGAAAAATAGACAAAAAACAATGTAAGAGCCATGCTAGGGCCAGGAGGGGATCACACGGAAGGAAGCATGCAAAAACCCAAATTCAGAGAAGGCCTGCTCTGCCCAGATGCTGGGCAGATGTGTTAGACAGATAGTGATTCTGCTAGGGAAGCATCATGATTCCTCCTTTGTAGATGAAGAAACTGAGGCAGGAAACTAAATAACTCACCAGGTTGCATATATCCACAGGCCTCTCTTTCTGTCTCCCTCTTTATCTCCCCCAACGTCTCCCTCCCGCTTCTAAGTAAGTTTTGCTCACCTCTATCAGGTAGAGGATGATGTACTCATTCACTGCGAACAGGGTCACTTGGAAGAAGGTCATGATAAGCAGTTGGACTGGGCTGATCTTGCCTAGCACTGCCCCAAAGGCCACACAGGTAGATGCCACACAGAAGTCAGCTTCGATGATGCTATCGGGAGACAGGACCAGCGAGGAGCTGCAGCTACAACCAGAAGCGACACTCCAAGCCTTTGGTCCTCTGTGGACTGAGACCGGTGGTTTAATCCTCCTGAGTCTCAGTTTCACCCTCTGTGATAATGGGCTCATCCTAGCTAGGACCATACATGCATAGTGCGCCCAGTGAAAAGCCTGCTTTGGCCTCTGGCGGAGACCGGCCTGACTTAGAGGACAGAGTCAAGCTTGGATGGGGTCAGAGATGAGAGAGTTGGTGGCTGAGGGCTAAAACAAAATGGCACTGTGACTGACTGGAATTTAAGGTGGTCTAAATTCCTCCCATAGGGTAGGGAGTGTTTCAGGCTGGGCTCAAAGGTAGAAGAGGAGGCTTGAAAATGTATAAAGTAATCAAATACTATCCTCCTCCACAAGAAGGCTCCTGTGTGGCAGTGGGCATCGTGTCTTCCCTTGACAGTCTTGTGGGCTCTATGCTCAGGAACCCAAGTGGTCCATTCACTGTTGTTGAACAAGCCCTCTATTTAGGGTGCAACCCTGTCCCCTGTCTTCTGCTTGCCTTTCCAGAACCTCCTCTTATTGTCTCTATTTGCCAAAAGCCTTCTTCAGTCCCTCCCATGTGGCCCCTGCCCCTGACACTGCGTTCACTCCAGAGTCACTCACCCTGCCCTGTCATGGCCTCTGGGTCCTCCTTGTCACTGTACCCACAAGGAAAGGTCAGCGTCTACACAAGAGGCAGAAGGACCTTCCCACAGGAAGTAAAGATCTAGCATGATGTTGGGCATAAGGAGGAGGCAGGAAGGCCCAAAAAAGGGATGGGGCAAAGGGTGGCACAAAGGCTCCCCTCAATCCTCAAATGCCCAGGCTCAGCCACCGCAGCAAGGGAGTCAAGGAGGCGTGGTCACCTACTGCAGCCACGCAATGCCTACACCTGCAGGAGACCCTGCTTCTGCCCACCTCCCATTTTGTATCGTCCCCTGCTGGCAGCAAGGCAACCCCGCATTCTCAAGCAGAGTTCCAGCGCAGCTCATGAAACCATGGAAGCTGTCAGTGGGGTGGGCGTAGGGAGAACAGGGTTGCTTCCTCAAGGCTGTCGAATACAGAGATCCTCCACACATGTGAGGGTGTGTGTAAAACACAGACTCAGGGTGAAACAATCTCACTGAGGTCCAGTTTTTGAATGAGGGCAGGACCTCTCCAGAGGATATTTACAGGATGTTCCCCTCCACTGCTAGCCTTGCTCCGCACTGTGTCTGCGGATCTGCCTGAAAGGGTGACGGGCTACTGAGTAAGCAGTCACGTGGCCTCCTGAATCATCTCCCCCAACCACAAAAGGTGGGTACTTCTCATCAATATTTCATCACTGTGATAAGAAGGCTCAGCGAGGCCCAGTGACTAGCCAGAGTTCTCCAGATGCATCCCAAAGAGCCACCTGATGGAGGTGCCCCTCAGGAGGGAGAAAGAGCAAGAACAGAAAAGCCGGGCTTCTGCCCATCGACACTCAGGAGGTGGATCTGGCTACCACATGTTAGGGGTCTCGGGGAGGCCTGAGCAGAGCTCACAGAGGAGAGCTGCCCCAGTGTGGCAGGTGAGCTTAGCCAGGGCAGATGTCAGAAGTATATCCATACCTATAAACCCACAGGCTAGGTCTGGGAACAACACACCCATCCTAGCCTTGGGCTCACAACATCGACTCCAGAGCAGTTGGCTGGAATCTAATCCCCCAAATCCAGTTTGCCCAAACTCTATTTATCCAGTGACCCGCTTGCTGACTAAGTAGTTCACCGCGAACTTGCTAACTCAGGGTTTGTAACCTCTCTTTTGAAAAAAAAAAATAATAATGGTACACTTTCTCATGTGTCACAGCCATTCTACCGTAGTGGCTGATTAGACATATAACAGGTGGACTCATGCTTTGGGCCTATGGTATTGAGGCTGTTTTGTGCACGTCACAGATTTTACTGAAGGCAGTTTATCTAGTCCTGTTTCTTTCCGTGTGTCAGTCACTGGCCACTTCTCTAAAGAGGAGAGGGAGGTACCCCGGTGGGAAAGGGCTGTCGACACTCATCAAACTGAGAAGTTATCAGGAGTCACTTAGAGGACTGGAGGTGGGAAAAGAGGTTGGTGCCCCACCCTGAAAACCCACACCAGCCTTCCAGCTTTTATTCTGCCAGAAGAGGTGGCATGCAAGGAGAGAGGGGGCTCCATTTGGCTGAGCTCCCCATTGCTGTTCCCAGCAAGGAACCCTCTGAGAAGAGCTCAGCCATCTGGACCACCCTCCTGGGTCCCTCCTGGGGCTGCATTGTCTCAGAGTATTTCAGTGTGTGGAAGGGGGGCTTGGGCTCTTCCTTCCTCTTCTGGAGAAAAGACTATCTATTCTCCATCATGGGAGAGAGACCCTCCCATGGTACCTGGATAACATTATGTACAATCTCTATCTGGAGAGCAGCGGTAAGAAAACCGTGTGCGTAGCACAGCTGCAGGTGTCCATCACGGGACCAAGGTGTCCTGAAGGAAGAGCCACCTTACCCCAAACCCTCAGAGCCCACCGCCCTCTTCCTGTCCCTTCCCACTCCCTTTAACCCCCCCCCCGCCACTCCCATTGCCTCTCCCTCACGGTACCTGCACTACCATCCCGCTAGGCCTCTCCTTCTGAGCTTTTTCCAGTTTTTCTCGCCACCCACCCGTAGGTCCCTCCCTGTCACCACAGGACCCATCCCAATCCAGACCCCGACCCCATCCCCACTCCTGAGCCATGCCCACTCAATCCTTCTCCCCAGGACTCACCCCCAGCCAAAACCAGCTAGTGAGCATCTCCTGCGTTCCCTCCCCACCCAGGGTCCACACAACCACTGCCGAACCGCCCTCCCCGCCGGACCCAGCCCGGTCCATCCGGCCCGCCCCTCCCCTCGAACTCTCCCGGGCTCACTTCTCCACGCTCAGGATAATGTGGCCTTCTTCAAAGAAGCGGAACCAGCCCTGCATGAGCAGCGCCCACTGAATGCCGAAGGCTGCCAGCAGGAAGTTGAAGCCTACAGCGCTGAAGCCATAGCGCTGCAGGAAGGTCATAAGGAAGCCGAAGCCCACGAAGACCATGGCGTGCACATCCTGGAAACCTGCCAGGAGGGAGGGCGCAGTTGAAGGTCTCTGCTGCCTAGAGAAGGTCCATCATGGCTTTGAGTCTGACAGGCCAGCACAGCCTAGGGTAGCTCCTGTATTTTCAGCCACTGTGACAGAATCTGGAGCCCTGACTCCCTCTTCTCCTCATCCCTGCTCCTCTCTTCTGGGTAACCAGACTACATCTGGGTGGCCATAACAAGAGGCCTCTTGATGGGTTAAATAAATAAATAAATAAATAGCCACTACCTTCATCTTCAGGTTCTCTGGAGGGGGCCAGGGGACTATCGGTGGCTCTCCAGATTAGACCTCTGGGTAATAGGATCAAGATGACTGAGCGCACCCTTGGGAGATGACACTATTCTTGTTCCACCCTCCATCTGTATGGCACTGCTGGTCCACATCCTCCCCCCCCCCCCCCCCCCCCCCCCCCCCCCCGCCCCCCCCCCCCCCCCCTCCCCCCCCCCCTGCCC